ATATCATATGTGGTCCCAAAGAAGCCATCAGAATGCGCCAGGTGGGGACGACAGTGTGGCCGTTAAAGAAATTTGGACCCGGTTGGTATCCGCCGGGCTGACGAGACTCACGTACCAATAACTACCCCGACCGATTTGAAAATTTGTCTCACTGTTCTCACCGTATCAATGTTCATATTTATGACAATGTTTGGTGTCAACGTCGACATATCTTGTACGTTTGTGCATTGGTATTAGTAGGACTAGGACTCCATGCACCAATCAGAGCGGAGAAAACAGTAACTACTTTCCAGGATAATGCTTCTATATGCCCGTCGGTAGCCCTTGTGTCCATTGCCATATCTTAGGTCGTTTTTACAATCTCATTCGAAGTTACTGGGATGATGACTAAGAAGTTAAAATCAGCCTAAATATGGGATAATATTAGTCATCAATACTTAGTCATACGTCTTAGTCATCACGCGGGGTGTTTCTTACGTCATGGAGAGGCTGAAGATGGAGCTGAAGAAGGACGAAGCAAGAGACAAGAAGGAGACAAGAAGGAGAGAAGAAGATGGAAAAGACGAGCAGAGAGGAGAGCAGGGACGCAGTTTGCAGATAAGCGTACTAACAAGGAGAATACAGAGACAGCCATGCCAGACCAGAAAGGAAGCCCAGAAGGCCCAGGCAGGAGACTGATGCCTGGCAACATCATCTCGACGGCGTTGCGGATCCTGCCTCGAGCAGAGGGGCTTCAGTTGAAGAGCGCGCAGGAGACGGTGGCCCTCGTTGGCCATGCATGCATGGTGGAAAGCGGTTTCAGGCTGATCGGGTTGGGAGAAGAGCACCGGACAGGTACGCAACAAGCCATTATCTCCAAGCTGACAAGACCCTAGCTCATGATTTTGTGTACAGATAGCGGTGATGTCCTGCCTAGAGACTGGAATCTGGGCAGCCCCCCGTCTGCCTTCAAATACTCACACTCGCATCATCCGCCCTCAGAGTACCTGCTCCAGGTCAACCGCCTGGGGAGCATGACGGTCATCTACGCCGTCGCCCTGTTCAACAGCCGGACAACTTCGTTCGACATCTCCACCGATGATTTTATTTCAGATTCGAAGCTTCCGATAGACGCAACAGCCACGTCTGAAGAGACTATTCGGAGCCTCTTTGTATCGCAGTCTCGCCTTGAGGAGTTTTGCCGTCTGTTTAATGAAAATATTGTGCAGAAATTGATGCCAGACCCATCCATAGCTCAGACTGGCGAAGGGGAGAGCAAAGAGCCCCTGGTCAGTCTACGGGAGCAGGCTGCCGAGCAGTACCCTTCTCGGGGACCCCTACGTGATGACCGTAGCCCTGGACCTACCCGTCCTTACCCATTTGACGACCCGCTGGCCATTCCATCTCGTGAACCCATACCCGCTCCTTCCGGCGACTTCCCGCCGCCACGGTTCGAAGACGAATATGAAATCAACCGCGGGCCCAGGGGATCGTTCCCTCTCCATAGCGGATACGGGCGAGATGAGAGGCAGCCTGTAAATATCGGCGAGAGAGATCTCTACCCACAGGGCCTTGCTCCTCACGATCCGCTGCAGAGGCACCTAGGCCCAACCCGGGGCGGTCGAGGAGGCTTTGGCAGCGGCGGAGGCATGCACCCGACCTTCGACGACCCAATGTTCGGTGGAGGCGGACGAGGTGAGGGAAGCTATGACCTGCAGGTACCTCCTGGAGCACGGTATGACCCCGTCGGTCCAGGAGACGGTCGACCATATGGACGGGGTTCAGGCTCGAGATCAGGCTCCGGTTTCCCGGGGGGACCAGGGCCGGGCGGCTTTGGCGGCTTCGGCGGCGGCGGCGGCGGTATAATCTAGCCCATAGTCAAGTAGTAGCAAAAAATGTACCATATCACCCCGTTAATCGTCTTTTCAGCGTCTTGTACTCCGTGACTCTCCTGTAGCTCCTTGTAACTCCAAGAACTTGCCTGGAGCTTGTTGTTGACGTCTCTTCCTCTCTCTCTCTCTCTGTCTCTCTTTTTTGTCTTCCTGCGGAGGTCATGTGAGGTGGCTGGAGCAGTGTGGCGTCTCCAAAACACCAAAACGCCAAAACCATCGAAACGCTCGAAAAAAGACCATTATTATTTGCCAAAATCAACCAAAAGTCGACTGAAAGACCAAACAATAGCCTGCAGCTCCTGTCGTCGACTACCCAGGACAAAACAATTCACGACCCCTCCCTCGAGCTCCCTCGCTGTGTCGCATTCTCCCACTATCCGCGCCTCCTTCGCCCTTCCCGCGCCCACCTTGCTCGGTTGATTGCTCACTCTCTCTCATTTACCCCCCAGAATAAGCGACCCCCCTCCACCGCCCGCGAGCTGCTTCTAGGACCGCCACCCCGTCCCCCGTCTTTCTAGTGCCATCGACTCGAGTACTACTCATGGAAAGCAAGATGGAGATCGATTCAGGGCGGTCTCCTGAACCCCACGGCCTCTCGCTCATCACCGACCCGGAGTCAATACCGACCCTAGACGGCTGGATCGAGAGCCTCATGAGCTGCAAGCAGCTTGCAGAGATCGATGTCCAAAGATTATGCGATCGGGTGGGATTTCTCTCCTTTGAAATTTGATGCTTTATACAGCGCGGGAAATTCTCTTCTTCTCCTTTCTTTTTTGACGTCGTCACTGTCGTTGTCGTTAGATGCCCGTTTTATGCTATTCTTGCTTGTTTGATGTGCCTCCCTTAAGGCTAACCAACTTATCTACAAACAGGCCAGAGAGGTTCTGCAAGAAGAGTCAAATGTCCAGCCAGTGGTATGTTTCCCTTCCCCGCCTGGCCATTTGAAGTGTTCCAGAGCAGTCTAGGGGATATACTGATGTCCGCTGGTGTGTTGCAGAAATGTCCAGTAACAGTCTGTGGAGACATCCACGGCCAATTCCACGACCTGATGGAGCTGTTCAGGATTGGTGGCCCCAATCCAGATACAAACTACCTCTTCATGGGTAAGTCAATACTTGAAACCCAGAGCAGAAGACAATGCGTGTCTCCCCCGCCGAGTACTGTCAGTCTAACATGTTTTATGTAAAATGATGTGAAGGCGACTATGTCGACCGTGGTTACTATTCCGTTGAGACAGTCACTCTGCTTGTCGCTCTTAAGATCCGTTACCCCGGCCGCATCACCATCTTAAGAGGAAACCACGAATCACGCCAGATAACGCAGGTCTACGGCTTCTACGACGAGTGCCTGCGAAAATACGGCAATGCAAATGTTTGGAAATATTTCACTGACCTCTTCGATTTCCTCCCTCTCACTGCCCTCATCGACAACCAAATCTTCTGTCTTCACGGAGGTCTCAGCCCTTCAATCGATACATTGGACAACATCAGATCTCTCGATCGTATGCAAGAGGTGCCGCATGAAGGTCCCATGTGTGATCTGCTCTGGAGTGACCCAGACGACAGGTGCGGCTGGGGAATCTCTCCTCGTGGGGCTGGATATACTTTTGGTCAGGATATCTCAGAGGCATTCAACCATAACAATGGCTTGACCCTCGTCGCGAGAGCACATCAATTGGTGATGGAAGGTTATAATTGGTCTCAAGACCGGAATGTAGTAACTATATTTTCTGGTATGTCTATGCTGTCGTCTTCCCTCCGGTCTTTGGTGAATAATGCTAACCCCGTCAATGTGATCAGCTCCAAATTACTGTTATAGGTGCGGAAACCAAGCAGCAATTATGGAGATAGATGAGAATCTCAAATACACTTTGTACGTCACTCACTCCTTACTTGACCCCTTTTCTTTTACTAACTTGGACATCTTAGCCTTCAATTCGATCCTTGTCCCCGTGCAGGAGAACCAATGGTGTCTCGTCGCACGCCGGACTACTTCCTGTAGATACGAGAAAAATGACCTGCAATACATTCAAAGCCTGTTGCATTCCAGTTCGTCTCACAGTGTCCCACCTCCTGAACTTTCCACAATCTTCAAATGAATTACTTCCACTTCCCGTTGTTGTCACCACATGACTGGATTGTACACGGCACTCTTAATATTCTATTTCTTCTTCTTCTTCTTCTTTTTTTTCGTGCTTATTCAAAGACACCCTCTTCCATTATTTGTTTCATCCATTGCCTCCGTTTGCTTGTGTATGCTGAGGAAGCGAAAGATTCTCGCGCTAGGTTGTAACGGATCCTGTTGAACAAAGAAAGGATAGGACTAACTCGGGCAACTTGACGAAAGAGATGGCCGGCTGGAACGCCTTAAAAAGGAGAGATAAAAGAAATTAGAATACCCGAACCTCCCACGAAAAAGAACTAGAAATGCAAATGAAGATGATAAGTTTTTCGCCTCAATAGAACAACATAACTCGATATCGTATGGATAAGTGGTAGCTTTCTTTCGTGGAATTCTCCATAGGTTCGTCTCGGCAGGGTAACTACATCGCAGCCCTTCCGCAGTTAGCTGTCTGATCGTCTTCGACCAAACCAGGACAGGGACAGTAACTGTCCGGCCGGTTTTCCGCTCCTGACTTTCTCTCATCTAATCTTCATCCTCATCTTCATCGTCATTTTCTCGCATCAACTTACTACCGCTTTGGGGCTGCTGACAAAGCGCACTTGGTGAATCAACTTAACTATGCAAACAGTCCAAAATATGCAAACACAAACACTGCAAACACGCCGTCTCGAAAGTGATGCAAACATGACAAATGAAGGAAATACCAAACACCGTCAGCACCCACCCAGCTACCAAATGCAAACTCACCAAGACCACATATTTGTAAGTATACGAAGCGTACGCAAGGATAGAAGCTGAAAGAGCAACACAGATTAAAAATCAATGTAGAAGATATATACAGATTGGGATTATCTAATGCAGCTGGAGAGGTATATAAAAACGGTGGTCAGCACCCGTTAATTGGGACACTACTCGAGAGCAATTAACAGAACTCAACCCAGCATATTATCAAACATCAATCATTCAAATCCTCCATTTTATCAACTTCCATAAAAGCACATCACAATGGCTACCTACTATGGAAAAAATGCGGTCATCATCGGCGGGAGTCATGGTATTGGACTAGAAGTTGCTAAAACCCTCGTTTCCCAAGGTGCCAGGGTGGTCGTCTCCGGACGGCGCGCAGAACCGGTTGAGGCTGCGGCAAGGGAGCTCAATGGACTAGTTGCCGGGGCTTCTCTTGTTGTTCAGTCAGACATTACCTGTATGAAGAGTCATGAGGAATTCGAGGATTCCGTCAAACAGCATTTGCTGGCCGATGGTGACTCCTCCATCGACTTCCTCTTTATCAACGCTGCCTATGCCAATCTCATCCCGTTCAAGTCTGTTACTGAAGAAGACTTCGACAAACACTTCAATACCAACACACGAGGGCCCTTCTTTATCGCTCAGCGGCTGATACCGTACATTCGACAGGGTGGGTCTATTGTGTTCACCACAAGCGTATCCATCGGCACCGGGTATCCGGGTATGGCTGCATATTCCGCATCAAAGGCAGCGGTGTACTCAATTGTGCAGACGCTTGCTGCTGAATTGGCCAGCGGGGAGAACGGCAAAGAGGGTATCAGGGTCAACGCAGTAAGCCCCGGCTTCGTTGACACGCCGACCATGGGAATTATAGGTGCAACGAAGGAGGATAAGGAGGCATTTGCGAAGATTGGCGCCCAGACATCGCCAATGGGTCGAATCGCAAAGCCCATAGAAATTGCCAAGGCCGCTTTGTTTTTGGGCTTCGAAGCCACATATACAACTGGTATCGAGTTTGTGGCCGATGGAGGCTCCAGATATTTGAGTACCCAGCTAGAAAGTCACTGACGTGACTGTATGGTCCTCAAAGTTGGTCGTGATGGCAAGAATTTTCAATTTTGATATATATTTCGGGGGGCGGGGTCGCATGAACAGAGATAAATCAATAGTGGAATGTATATCAAATAGAGAAATTGCTTAGTAGACTATCATCAACCAGTCCTGTGTTACAAATAACTCAACAGCCCATAGCTAAGAACGGGAAAACATGCATTAAAAGGGAAAATCGCTCTGTGTGCCGATAGGAAAGGTAATAGGAATATAACGAGGTTTTCGTACATAGCTTCATGACATGACAACTTGACTTTGGCCCTCTTCGTCGTTGTCCGATGTCTTGGGTTCTATCCGGTTATCAGAGTAGTTGCGCACTTTAGAACTCCCGTTGGGAACGAAAAATCTGCGATCGACCCGGCCAAAGAGGAATATGTAGACGACCATGGCTTCGAGGACAAAGTTGAAAATATAAAAGCACGCCTTATGATGGTACCACGCAGGATTGGTAGCGGCTCGGATAGGGGAGGCACTGACTCCGATACGGAACCCTGCACCAAGCGTCAAAAGGAGAGCTGCAGCGGTTACGATGATCACTTTTGCTGACCACGATCCAGAGCCAAATTGATCACGTGGTTGCCTTTGAGGAGCCAGATGAATAAATGCAAGTATAAGTATCGGGAGGAATGCAACAAAAGTCAGCAGACTGCCACCGAAAAGCTGTAAGTCACGATCTATCCGTCTAGTATTAGGAACCAGGGTGAAGAAACTTTGCACAGTCGCTGTGATGACGGTAACCAATGTTAACCCAATAAGGATGTAGAGTATTTTAAAGGCGTATGATACTGGACGAGACCATCCCACGACGGGATGGCTAGCACGAAGCATACGTTGCGCGAATATCAAATTGATCACAAACAGTATCAAGACCCCAGCGGCAACGAAGACTTGTGCGGCAATTGCGACATCGATGTTCATTGGCTTCGCGGCCCACACAATTCGAAGGGTATTGGCCACGATACGAGCTATGCAGAATCCCCCAGTTGCTGCAGACGGGATGAACTTGTAATTGCGCTTCAGGTTCTTTCGAAATAGGGTAAAATGCGAAACAGCTCCAACGAGGAATATGGCAATGAAAACGGCAGAGATAGCAACGTCTACTGATAGTGTAGGGCGGCCACCAAGCCCAGCACCTGGTGGAGGATAAGGAGGCCCGTGTGCCTCTATACCAGGCTGTTTCAATAATGTTAATACCATCTGAGACCAGGGATATTCAATAGCAATGAGAGTTCACCATTCTTACCTTCCCAGGAGGGCCATGGGCCATGTCTGGAGAGCTGGACATCGTAATAGTGCGTTGGATAAGACAGTTCAACGATAAATACTCCGTACCCTTCCAGATTTCGGTTTTGAAGGTGTAACGAAAAAAGTCGACGGAACCGGGTCAATCACAAAAGGCCAGCTTGAGGGGATATCAGTCATTTAAGAAGTATCCCATCTTTCAGCGTCATGAAACGATGGGCCAGCCATAGTCATCACGTCGGAGGCCGGGCTCTTGCAGGCCCCAAGGGTCATGGTAATTGGTAACAAGGGGAATATTTATACATATTTCTTTTTCCGGTCAAGCAAGATGACGGAGTGCGTCTTCGCTGTCGCGTTAATGTAATCGCCGAAGTTGCTAGCTATATTTCCTAGACCCAACAGTATTTTCAATACAAAGCTCATCTGACATGGCGAGTTGTCGGCAAGTCGGTCGATTTTATGGCCGACTTGCCGACTGTGAATTGTAGTGGGGACTTGGCCAATAACATTAGCACATTTGGTTCCTTGACACGAGGACGACCACAAACATGTTCCCATCCCACCGGAGGAAGTGTCGCCACAGTTAGTGCGATAGTTGGTGGACGTTCAAATCAGCATTATTGCTAAAGCTGGTAGCACAATATGAGGCTGTGCCAAAATTTCGACTCGAGCTTTCCTCTGATGCGAGCTCTGTCATGGCAAGTTAATCTGAGATCCTGATGATACCCACATGGGGATCATTTCTCAAACCCCATGCTATAGCCACCAGTTTTCTCATCCTTGACGAACTTGAAATTATCCGTGGACAGACCAAATGGCTTTAGAATCCCATTTCCGAGCTATAATCGACAGGCATTCCATCAGAGAAGGCCTTTGACAAAAGGAAAAGCTGCATACGCGGAAACTCTCAGAGGATAGGGGGTGCTTACATCTTTTAGTTTACCCATCATCTCGGCCATTTCTTTATCCTTTGCTGCGTTTATTTTAGCAGGCAATTCCCTTAGAGCAGTCTTGACCGCTCTAGTGTCTTGCGGAGGGAGAATCCCAAGCTCCAGCAGGCTCTTGTAGTCCTCTTCAGCACCCTGGAGATTCGCCCATCCGCCCAACTGCATTCTTGCCTTCCCTCTCCGCATAAGAGACTTGCCTCTTATACGTAGTACATCCTCCCTATGCGTATCCTTTTCTTTCAACGTTCGAAGGACCTCATCCTCCTGCCCTTGACTCGTATTGTCTGGTAGTTCGACAACCCTAGAGGTGGCATCCGCCGTCTTATTTGAACCCGTATCCGCATCCTTACTAGATTGAGAGGTTGTAGCGAGAGCTATAGGAGCCAAACGATCCAGAAATGTTATGCTAGATGTGGCTGCATCTACAGCCGATTCCCATTCTTCCAACTGTATATGGCATGCAGCAATATTGCTTTTTAAAACAGCCACCTCGTAATCGAGGTAGTTAGGACAGACGGCAAGAGCTCTATCGTATGTAGTAATAGCCTCTGAATAATTAGAAGCAGAAAACAGTGTGTTCGCATCGGCTTTGTAGCTATGTGACTGGCTTAATAGGTCCTATCACAATTAGCGACGGTCGACTTCTGTAGGGTTTGTGGGCACCTACGGCTTCCTCGTCTGGGGGAAAACGAGCATCATGAAAGACTTCTTCGTCCCCATCGCTTTCACTGTGCTTGTCACTTGGTGCGTCTGTCATGGCGTGCTCTGCAACACACTGACTGCGATATTCTCTGTTTCAAATTACAGGACTTGACTTACTCAAAAGTTGAACTAAGGTTAAATTATTAGTCAGACGCACTAGGCGCCCCGTCCAATCATGTTGTAAATCCTGCCTGCCACATATTATTTCCATATGTTATCGATAGCACCTTCAGGAACAAGATTAGTCATATACTTAGTTAACGAGTCTAGCCTTGGCGGCGCTTATAACTACAAACCTTCCTTTCATTCAAAATATGCTTCACGCAGCTCTCCGTGCAGCTTGGCCATCGCCTGGCTAATTAGCTACCCTCTCCACAGCTTGAACCGCGCAATGTCTTTCCTTCGACAGATGGCATCCCAATCCCGCCGCACCATGTTCACTATCAAAAAGTCTCCATGGAAAATACCGTCTAGCCAAGGGCCTTCACTTCCCCAGCATGAACTTGTCGATGAAGAGATTTGCCCTGGATATAACCCAGCCTCCTTCTATCCAGCACAGCCAGGGGAAGTGCTTATCAAGAAATTTCAATTACTTAACAAAATTGGATGGGGATCACAATCAACCGTGTGGCTCGCCCGAAATATCTCCAGGTAACTACTTATCCTTCTGTACTCCTGCTATTGATGTTGTGCACATAACCATTGACAACAACTAAGGAATAAATGGCAGTCGGAGCAGATCGTCGCGGTCAAAATAACGAATAATAACAACGTTGAAGAGGCACATCATGAAAAGGAAATCGAATACCATATTGCACATCTAAATCCAAAGCACCGAGGACACCTAATCCTACGAACATGCCTTGATGCTTTTGAATTAATTGGTCCCAAAGGAAAACACATGTGCCTTGTCTATGAACCGATGAGGGAACCTCTGTGGATTTTTCAGAAACGCTTTATCAGTCGCCAGATCCCTTTACCTATTGCAAAGACGTATATATTTTTCCTTCTTGTTGGTCTCGATTATCTTCACTCGGAGTGCAAGATTGTCCACACAGGTGACACATTGTCCCCTCTTTACCTTCGATTTACTTCAACTAATACATCGCTAGACCTAAAACTTGACAATATTCTCATGAGCTTTGAGAGCGACGAAATCCTTACTAGCTTCGTAAAAAAGAAACAGCAGATGGAATGTAAGTTAGATGAAAAGAGTGGCCAAACTATCTACCGATGCAATAACGACTTCGGCCCTCTTAACGGTAAACAGTTTACGAACTTAATCCCCAAAATAACGGATTTTGGTCTCTCTACAAGACTAGACGGATCGAACCAGCTATCTTCTTATCCTATTCAACCTGATTATTACCGCGCTCCCGAAGTAATCCTTGGCTGTGGTTGGAATGAGAAGGCAGATATCTGGAACTTTGGTGTATTAGTAAGTCCATACCACTTATCCCTGAGAATCCGGTTCTTACTTGCTCTTTATTATTTGACAACCACTTCATAGCACTTGTCACTAATATCTCTGTCTGATAAGCTGTGGAATATCCTGGGAGGCAAAGAGTTGTTCCAGCAGGTACATGACCAAAACGGCCTGTACGATGCAAAATCACATCTTGCTGAAATGATCGCTCTACTTGGAGCTCCCCCCATTGCATTAATTGCAAGATCGAAAGCCGGCTCTGGGAATAATTGGCCTCAACATGTCACTAGCAAAACTGGTAAACTCTGCATTAATCCTCAAGAATTTTTCGATGGTCCTTTCTTTTGCTCTGAAGGTAACCTAATATCAAACCTAACATACAAAAACTTGATATGCTAACTGTGTTTTCAGGAGAATTCTACCATAATGAGCTTATACCGTCTCGAAAATTAGAGAGCACGATACCGTTTCTCGAGGAGAGAGAGAGAGACGCGTTCTTGTCGTTTGCTAGCCAAATGCTCAGCTGGGACCCGGATCAAAGGAAGACAGCCCGCGAACTGATTGACCATCCATTCCTTAAATTGGGTGATAAATAAAACACTACAATTTCTTTAGTGTCTAGACATGTAACTACGGTCATCATATCAACTGCACATGGATAAGCAGATCCGTCCTGTGTGAGAATGAGAGTAGTGCTATAAAAGAAAACATCAGGTATCCTTCGTCTCTCTTAATTGACCGCGACTCATGTGCTTCCTTCACTGCTCTCCATACATATATCACTGCAAACAGAAAGTGATGAACGCCCTGTCGAAATCATTTAGCCGTAGAGCTAGGGCCATCTCCTTCGGGGGCTTCGGAAATGCGTGGAATATTCACATCATCGATTTTAGAACTCGAGAATGCGACCCTTCCGTTTGGGTATACGTGGGCAGATGTGACGCGTTTGTTTCCGTTCATTAATGTAATAGAAACATGGTAAGGGTCCTTGGTCTTTGGGGTATCATGAGGGTCGCCCCTAGACAATATTAGCTGACTTCTCAAGCCAGAGTAAGGCAAAGTTCATACTGCACGGTTGCTGAATCCACTTCTTTGAGCAACTTGGGAACGTAATCCACGGCATTCTCGGCATAATATTTGGCCCATTCCACGTCCTTGGTTGTTCCGTTATGACTCCAAAGGAGAGTCTTCAAGTTTCGCGCGGTGGAGGAGAAGGCTCGAGACATAGTTATCACGGTTCCTTTCTTTCTGTTCCTGTTGAATGGAATAGCTAATTATGTGGATAGAAATTGCGTAGTGAACCTTGCTGTTCGCTGTGTAGGTGAAAGTAGTGGAATGGATTTCTTGTCTGACAGGAATTCTGCAGGGTATTTATGTCGTCAACTCGTCGTCAACCCCAACCATTGACCGAGCACATAGGCTATTACAGCCAACTCGCAACTATTTACGCGCCAGGGTGAAGCCATATGCGCTGCCCCTTATGCGCCGAGGACTTCTGTTGACCTATGAGACCGTCATTATGCAAGGGCGTTTCACTTTTTGAATCTCTTGTAGCCAATAAATTCGGGCGTTTATCAAAGCTCTGGCATGTCTGAAAACAACCAACTCTTTCGGTTGCGAATATTGATCTCCCGAAGCAGTTTTGGGATAGAGCGAGCCAATGGTAGTTTAAACCCAAAACAAACTTCAAGGTTCAGATTAGGCTTGACCGCACATCTCTCCATTCATTAACTTAATTCGGTTTAGTTGACTCAAAAGCGGAGCTGTTTGTCAGAAATAACCAATAATAGTACCGAATATGAACCATTAACCTTTACATTTAAGCGCCCAGCTGAAACCCAAAGAAGTACTATTTATAGTCTAAAAAGACGAGAAGGCATTAAAGATTTTTTTAATGATACCCTGGTGAACGAGTTACGCTATTATAAATTCTAAGAAGTAAATTTTGGACATTCAGAAACATTCTGGGTGGTAACTGTCAATCTCTGGGTTCCTTCCATGGAAGGTTTGCCCGCGTGCGCTCCAAGGAGGCAGTTCTGCGGTGTAGGCCAGATTGAAGAGCAATTTAGGGGCTCCATTGAGTAAAGAAGAATTGCTGGCTGCTATAGGTAACAGCTACCCCGCTTCTACATATACGTGTTCCAGCCATGAGCCGTTCTCCCGTGTATAGGTCAACGCTGGGTCAGGTGATTGAGAGATCACGTGACTCCAATGGAGCGGCCCCTCAAACACTGCCTTCTCAAATGGGCAAGTGACGCCTCGAGGCTGGCCGAGGAGCTGGCCATAACAGTAACCATTAGTTAATTCATTATTTAAAAAATGGCATGCGGGCTTACCTATATGTGAGCTACGTATGATACTAATAACTATCTCTCTGTTACCACCGGTTATTTTTTTTTTTTTTTTTTTTTTTTTTTTTTTTTA